ATTCAAGATGTATCTCTTGAGCACCTACTGGGTGCCAGCCAGGCCCCTTCTGGGTGCTGAGAGGAGTACAGTGGGTAAGGCAGACAGGTCCTCCTCCGGAAGGGCGTGGTCAGTGGTCAGGGAGACACACCTACATCAGATAATGACATCCAGGTTGACTTGCTGGCCGTGGGTGGCGGGGTACAAAGGGGGGCTTGGGGTCTGAGGGATGGTGGGTTCCCAGCTTTAACTCAGCCCTTGCAGAGCTGGGTGAGCGGCAAGGGTGACACGAACGGGCGTGCTATCCATGCCATCTTTATTTCTCCCTGCTGTTCTTTCACCGTATATGGAGGAGAAATTTAAAAAGGGAGACCAGAAGCTCCTTTGCGTTCCTCCCACAAGCCCTGCGGGTCTTTGCTTGAGGAGCTAAGCTTTGCCCTACCTCTGGCTGCCTTGCACTTCGCATGTTTCCTCCAGGGAAATTCCTACCTTAGTAGCTATACCTTCCCGAGGGAGATGCCGGGAAACTCGCTTTCCCGGACTCCCTTGCAGCTTGGTGCAGGCTTGGGACTTGGGCTTCACCAGTCAGACATGCTAGCTAGAGACATGCAATTAGTCGAGAAGCACAGGACAAGGGGTGTGGAGGAGAATGGACCTGCCCCCAGCTGATGTCGTGGAAGGACTCACTGGGCAGCTCTTCCATAAACCTGGCCTCGTTCTATGAACCACCCCGTAACCTTGAATCAACTCCTCTGTGTAAACTAGACGGAGTGGTCAATTCTATTGCTTGCCGCTCAGACCCCTTGAGTGACTACAGATCATTCTAGATTTCTCTGCTCTGCGGTTAATGCTTTCTTATTGTTGTTTTGTATTCAACAGCTATCAAAAAATGACTATCTATGACTCATTTTTGGCCACTGGGGGCAGTGGTTTTGAATGTTAGAATGGTCATCCTGGTTCTACAGTGAACTTCACATTCTTTGGGACACGGGCAACGGGGGCATGTATATCAGCTGAACCCTTCTGGAAAGCCGTTAGGTCACAGGTATTAATAGGCATTAAGAATGCTCATGTTCTCTGATCCTCCCAAGTCCCTTTTCTGGAATTCTAGACAGAGGAAATCATCAGAAATAGTGCAAATGCACAGAGATGTTCACAACAGAATTATTTAGCATAGTGAGAAGTCAGAAGCTATCTCAAGGCCCCATGACCAGGGAATGGTTATGTTAACTAGGTGATGGTTTCTAAAAGAATGGAAGTGACGATTCCTCTAGCAAAATGTGAGTGCAGTACTCAGGGATTAGGTTTTATCTTTGAGTGACCGAAGAAACAAAGTAACAGGGACTTCAATGAAATAGAAGTTTGTTTCTCTCTTATATAAAAGAAGTGTGGAGGTGGCATCATAAACTCATCAGGGACTCAGGTTCCTTTCCTCTTGTTGCTCCACCATGGCCCAAGATAGCCACCGAGATCTGGCCATCACGTCTGCATGCTAGCCAGCAAGGGAGATGGGAAGCAGACCAGGCACCCTTTCCCTAAGGACAGTACTTGCAAGTTTTTTATACCCCATTGGCTAGAACTTAGTCACATGGACACACCTAGCTGCACACCTAGCTGGGAAATGTAGTTTTTGTTTGTTTATTTGTTTTCTGGTGAACACATGCCCAGCCACATGGGCATGGGATACCTATTATTAAGGAAGAGGGAGAGATCAGAGAATTGAGGAGTCACAGGGGGTCTCTACCACAATAGGCAACAATGTAAAACAACGTCCAAGCAGATTTTGTAATAACATGAAGAGAGGGTCTTGTACAGTTTGGGAAAAGCAGGGTTTGAAACTGTATATACAGTGCGATTGCCACTGTGGAACAAAATTTCAAAACAGAAAGCTACTCAGAGGACAAAACTGCTAGAAAGTTGGCTTTTGTGGGCAGTCCAATAAGAAATATCTTTTTTTTTTCTTTTTATTCTATATTTTTCCAAATTGTCGATAATTGAGCAAACTTAACGTCCCCAAAAGAAAGAATCTCTGTGCAAATTACAGAGTCTCTCTGGGCTGTAATTCATGCTGTGAAACTTCTGTCCTGGAATATGTCAAGGCAGCCAGGTGGGAAAAGAAAAAAATGACATTACCTCTAGTCACAGACAACATGATTGTGAAGGGAGAGAAGTCCAAGGAACCCACAAAAAGTGACTAGAAAAAGAGGGACCTGGGACTTATCACAGGTTCATGTCACAGCTTTGCTGAAATGCCCACTCCATGACCATGGACAAACCGCTACCCTCCCCATTCCTGCATCTGTAATGGAAGGATGAACAGCGCCCCTCTCCAGGTGTGAGGGGGGCTAGGAGGAGGGGGCTCCTGTGAAATGTGTACACAAGTGTCCTGCACAGAGCAAGCTCTAAACCAGGGCTTCTCAGTCGGGAGTGATTTTGTCCCCCAGGGGACATGTGGCAATGTTTGTCCCAATGTTTGTCACAATTTTGCCCCTCAGGAGACATTTTTGGCTGTAGACTGAGTGTGTGTGCTACTGGCATCTAATGGGTGGAGACCAGGGATGCTGCTAAACACCCTACAATACAGGACAGACAACATCCACCCCCCACCCCCACAACACACACACACAACAAAGAATTATCTGACCCTACATGTCAATACTTCTAAGTTGAGAAAACCTGCTCTAAATACACATCAGCTGTTACCATGATCAGGCTTATTTCCTGGCTTTTGCTGTCATGAACTTCACGGTGGTCCCACGTCTGTGGCCACGTGTACGTCTGCGGGATGGATTTCTAGGGTCACTTCAGCACCCCCGCTCTGCACTCAGGCGCTGTCACCTCCGAATGCCCCCAAGTGCATGAAAAAGTGGTCTTTTTCAGCTTGTCTCCAGCTCTTACCTGGGAGCTTGGTAACGTCTCTGTACCCAGGGTTGCTGTGAGAAGGAGCAAGATGGCCACCGGCCCCCTGTCCGGTGACAACAATGCTGTTGCTGCTACCAGCATCACTCACACGACAATCCCCCAGCGCTTCCTACCCCCAGTCCTTCCCCCTGGAACCCACTAACGTAGGCACTGCCATCACCCCCATGTCAGAGCTGGGGAAACCGGCTGTGAGGTAATACCAGTGCTGGAGCAGCTGGGCCCAAAGCCCGTGCGTTCTCCTCCTGCCTCACTGCTCTGGCCTGGGGGTTCTCAGCCCGGCCGCACATCAGAGTCACCTGGGGGAGTGAGTGCTGCAAAAGCCAGATTCCTTGGTGCTCTGCCGGCTCCGTGAGGTCAAGCTTGGTTGTGGAATCAAACAGATCTTGACTTGACTCTTGGCTGTGTGACCTGGGTCAGTGACTTTGCCTCTCTGAGCCTCAGGTTTGTCCTCTGAAACGTTAGTGCCTACCGCCAGTGGGTGGCCATGAGGACTTGGTGAAGGGCCATCACTGGCTGAGCATGGGCCTGGGGCACAGGCGCTGTAAGTACTCATTAAATATTGGCTTTTAATTTTATTTTTGGAGCAGGGCCTTGGGGTGTGTGTGTGTGTGTGTGTGTGTGTGTGTGTGTGTGTGTGTGTGTGTAAGCTCTTTAATTGATTTTAAAGTGCTCGGCTAGTTATTCATCCATCCATCCATCTATCCAATTATTCACCCATTCTTCCATCCACCAACCCATGCATCCATCTAATAAACACCTACCAAGCATCTCCTTTGTGCCAAGCCCTACGCTGGACTACGAGGCACTAGAAAAAACTACGACTTGGTCTTTGACCTCACAGAGGTCTCAGTACAGTGGGAGAGATGGTGGGAAGGGCTCATTTGTTCACTAGTTCACACATATTCTATGCTGCCTCCTATGTGTCAAGCACTGGCAGACCCTGGGGAGTAAAGATGGAGGAGACCAGGTCCTTGGGCTTCCATCCTAGCGAGAGACAGAAGTAAATCTGAACCAAGGGAGGAAGTGCTCGTTAGACAATCATTTAGTTCATTCAGCACATTCGCTGATGCCGCCCATATGCTGGACCTGAGCTCCGGGGACACCGAGATATAAAAGACTTGGCCTTCACCACTGGGAGCACAGTCCAGGGGAGGAAACAGTCCAGTGGCGAGTTTCGGCAGAGTGTGACATGAGCTGCAATCGGGGGAGAGCAGGGGTCCATTAAGAAACCAGGAAGGTGGCCGAGGGAGCTTTCTGGAGGAGGTAGGGCCTGGGTTGAGCCGGAAGGATGAGTGCGGTCTGCTCAGTTAACCCCTGTCACCCCACCCAGGGTCCCCGCAGACTTCTGGCTCCCCTCCCCTTCCAGAACTTGAAGGTCAGACTCAGGGGCCCCCAGGAAACCCCCTCCCTCCCAGCCAGCCAGCCCTTTTGAAGCTAGGACTCCAACCCTGTGTCAGAGCAAGGCCCTGGGCAGCCGGCCGGCAGAACCTTGGAGACTGTCCCACAGTGACCAAGGTCCGCTCGTGACATTGAGGTTGTTTGCACAAATGTGCTCCGTTTTCCTAGGGATCTTGTTCACAGAAGAAAACAACTCTGCTGACATAACTTATGGTGGGGGGCAGAGGGGTGGCTGAGAATGTCTACCACACATGGTGCCCTGGAAAACGGAGCCACTGGTGCCAGCAGGAGGAAAGCGGGAGAAGGGCGGAGGCTGGGCTAGAGATGGTGGCAAGGCCACATTATGCAGGGCCTCCCAGGCCTCAGGAAGGGCTCCGGTTTGATTCAACTGGTAATGGGGAGCATTTCAGCTGGGTTCAAAAGGATCAAAGCATAAGATTCAAAACCTCCAGATGGCAAGTGATTAATTCATTTGCTCATTCATTCATTCAGCCAATATTTGAGCACCTACTCTGTTCCAGGCACTGTTCCAGGCACTGGGGAAGCATAACAGACACAGGTTCTGCCTTCCTGGGACCAGAGGGGACACAGACCCTAAAGCAAATAATCACACAGTGAAACCAAGACAGCGATAAGCGCTATCAGGGAAGGCTTCTCTAAGGTGGACATATAAGCCTCTGGTTTAATACTTCAGTCAGCCAATATTTATTGAGCACCTACTATGCATCAGGCACTGTGCTGGATGCAAGGAGGCAGAGCGAGCAAGACAGACCCAGTCCCTGCCCTCCAGGAGCTGACACCCAGCGGAGTAGATAAGCTTATGACCAATCAACATGAGTATGGGAAGTAAATGCAGTTAGGGTATTGTAGAGGGGCTGTGGAAGCAGGGAGGGCTTCCTGGAGGAAGGGAGATCAGCGGGAGCTGGGTGAGCGATTACACTTGGAAGTGGGGTGGTACAGGTCGGGTATGTCCAGTGACCTGCTGAGCTAAGGAAGGAGTGTGGGAGAAGGTGCCATAGCTTTGGGAGAAGGTCAAGACTCATTGGAAGGAGACCAGCAGTGTGTACACTGCCCTTAGAGGAGCCTCAGGTGACAGAGGGTACCGGCAGGGCTCCCCCTGTCTCTCCATCTCTCTCTGGCTGGCTGGCTCCTCTTTCGGTCTCTCTTTGTCTTTGTCAGAACCTGACAATCTCTCAGATTCTGTCACTGTCTCTCTCGGCCTCTCAGTTTCTCTTTCTCTGACTCCCTCGACTCTGGTCATCTTCACGAGATGTCAGTAAGAGACAAGGAGACGAGGAAAAACCCCGGGCGGGTGGGCAGGAAGCAAGGTCAGGGGCACAAGGACAGCTGAGTACAGGGACAGGCGGTGACTAAATGTTCTGTTTTGGAAAGACAGCTCTGGTCAGGGGCGAAGGTGGCTGACCACGAAACCCGATAACCTGGCCAAACTCTGCTCTCGCCAACCCGCTGGCCAGCAGCCCCATGACCCATGGATGCCACACAGAATTTTCCCAGAGGGCGGGGGAGCAGAGGGAAAATGGCCCCTGGCAAACTTCTCGTCTAGCAAGTGAGACCAACAGGAAGGGATGGAAATAAGGGAACAGTGAATTCTCAGGCAAGCCCTCGGTGTGGTTTAGAAGAGGAAAGCCCTGCTTATCTCTACATGTTTTTCAAAGGTTTAACAATTGATTAAGCGCACCAGGCACGGTGCTGGGTATTCAGCGCTAACTCAAGTAGAGCATGGGGGATAAGACCAGGGACTCTGGGGCCAGACCGCCTGAGTTTGATTCCTGGTTTTGTACGTTACTAGCTCTGTGACCATGGATAAGTTACTTACCCTTTTTCTTCATGTGTAAAATGGGAAGAAAATAGCACGTGTCTCATACATTTGAAGCCAAGATTAGCATTAGTTCAGATATGTCAAAGGCTTGGACTCATCCCTAGCACAGAATAAGTGCTCAACAAAATTTAAGCTATTATCATTTTAGCCTTGTGATTCAAGAGTTAACGCTAAGGAGGCGGAGGGAGTCACGTTCAAATTCCTGATTCATCACTTCCTAGCTCTGTGGCTTTGGTTATGTCTCACAAGCTCTCTGAGCATCGATTTCTTACTGTTCAGTGAAGATGATTTTCGTAATCACCTCCCCAGGTAGCCGACAGGTTCTGCGTACATGTGTAAAGGAGGTGGAAAGCATTGACTTCACAGGTGAAGACAGGAAGTCCCAAAGTTGATTAAGTTTTTTGTTTTTTTTTCATATGTCCAGCAGGCTCAGGTCCTCAGAGCACCTAAGACGTGCTGGGTCCTGTGTTTTTCCTGTCCCGGAAGACAGTAATGAGCAGCTGAAGATGGAGGGAGCCCCCTTAGTGCCCAGCGTTCGACCTGACCACAGCCGTCTCATACAGGTGGTACTAACCCATTTCACAGAAGTAGAAACTGAGGTTTAAGGAGGCAAAGAGGCTGCCCAAGGCAAAAGGTTCACGAGCACATGCTCCTCTGCGCTGCTCTTGATCTGAACTCTGATGACAACGCCACCACTTCCTGTGCGTCAGAGGCCTCGGGCCTCCACTTCTCTCCCACGCTCAGCGGCACGCTCCTGCCCCGGTACCCCCAGCGCCTGCCTCCTCAGAGCTGGCCTCAGAAGTGCTGGTGGGACTGGACAGAATCCACAAGCACGAAGCGCTGGGCTGTCCCTGAAGTACTCGTCCTGGTCTTCAGCCTGTTTTCTTATCCTGTGCCAGCCAGCTCAAAAAAAAACCTCACCTTGGCCATCGAACCCCTGAGCACGCCCCTTACTACCAAGGCAAGAAGCAGGTGGCAAGCACAGGCAGCACGGAGGAAGGGACAGAATGCACCCTGGGTTCTCACGCCTGTCTGCGTGACTTCGGACATGGCACTTCCTCCCTCTGAGCCTCCATTTCTTCATCTGTAGAATGGGTACAGTCATCCTACTATCCACCTCTTCAGTTGACATGCAGAATAGAGCATGGGTACAGCTTTAGGCATGGGGCAGGTGCTCAGAAAAGGACACTGTGTGAGCCCTCCCCCCCTACTCCAATCCCGCAAGGCCAGTTTGGCCCCTCATGGTCAAAGGTTAGCTCCTCATGAGACAGTTAAGAGCGTGAGTCCTGGGCTTGACTGCCTGGGGTCAAATCCTGCCTCTGTTACTTGCTAGCTGTGTGATCCCAGACAAGTGACTTAACCTCTCTAGGCCTTAGGTTTTCCATTCATGAAATCGATGTAATTGTAACAGTCCCCGTCTTTTAGAATTGTTGTGATGACCAAATGCGTCCCCTAATGCAAAGTCTAGGATCTTGCCAGGCACAGAATGAGGGCTACACAGAAGTCTGCTGCTCTTCAGGCACTGAGAGGGAGAAGGGACCTGGTGTCTTCTGCACAATTTACAAGGGACTCGGGGCCAGAGGTGGAATGCGGGAGATGGGGAACAACCTCGATCTGAACCAGGAGGGATTTCAGAGAGCAAGGCACACTGTACTGGGGGAAGGCTTTGCTCGGGTCCCACATGGCCCCGGAGAAGGGCTGCTCCACATCCGTCCTCTCGTGGGAGCCGGCATAGCGCTTGGGCGTCTCCGTGAGGTGGCAGCTCCGTCCTTCCAGTTGCTGAGCCTGGAACCTGGAGTCATCCATGACTTCTGTCACATAGGGTCCAGCAGTGTGTCCTGTCAGCTCCACCTTCAGTGCAAACCTACGATGGGAGACCATGGACTTCTTCCCACTCCCCACCCCCCCACCTCCAGAGCCCGCCACCATTATCTTTGGCCTGGACCATTGCAGTCACCTCCACTCGGGTTGTTCCCCTTCTCTCCATGCCCTTCACTGTCCATTTTCCACACACATCCTTTCGGAACCTGGGGCAGGCCATGCCCTCCTCTGCTCAGGACCTTCCATGGCTCCCATCTACCCCAGAGAAAAGCCCAGGTCCTTCCTATGGTTTGCAAGGCTCTGCAAGATCTGCCCCCACGTCTCTCCCTTTACGGCCTCACAGGCTGCTCCTCACTCCTGCTGCCCTGACACACTGGCTGCCTTGTCAATCTCAGGCACAAATCAGCCTCGGGGCCTTTGCACTCGCTGTCTCCCCTGCTGGGGCTGCTCTCCTTCCAGTTACCCCCATTGCTCAATCCCTCATCTCTTTCAAGTCCGTCCTCAAATATTGGCTCGGCAAGGCCTCCCCTGGCTCCCGCATTTAGATCTGTACCTCTCTGAGACTCTCCATCTCCCTCCCCTGGTTTATATTATTTCTTCTTTGCATGTATCAGCCGAAACACAATATACCGTATTTCCCCATGTATAAGATGCACCCTTTTTTGAAAAATTTGGGGTCTAAAAACTGGGTGCATCTTATACATTGGTTGTAGATTTTTTTTACTTGCATTTCCCACTTTTTTCGCGCTTGTTTCTGCGCTCATACAATGACTGTATAAGATGCACCCAATTTTTAGACCCCAAATTTTTCAAAAAAGGGTGCATCTTATACGTGGGGAAATACGGTAGTTAATTTACTTATTCATGATTATCCCCGTCTCCATCCCTAACTCCAAAATGTCAGCTCCATGCGGACTTCCCATTGGGAAGAGCAGGGTTTGGACACGGTTAGTGGGAGCTGCCTCTTAGTGCTGGCTGAGGCCCAGACGCTGTTCCAGGGACTTGGTACCCAGCAGAGTACCTGGCTTCGTGGCCCTTCAGTCGCGTGGATCTGAATGCCAGCGCTGCCATGAACTTACCAGGAAACTTTGAACCACTGAGTGGCATCACTCTCGGCCTCAGTTTCCTCACCTGTAAATGGGATGATGGTCCCTCTCTCCCAAGGTTCAATGAGCTGATGCCTCTGAAGCGCCTGGCACCCAGTGGGCACTCAATCAGAGCTCACTCCGCCCCTGGCCAACCCCCATGCTGGCTGTCCCCCAGGGGACTGTGCTGTGAGCATTATTTTTAACCGTGGCTCAGGCAGGCTGGGCAGCGGCTCTGAAGGCCGTAGGAAGACCACCGGGTAAGCAACATCCCAGATGGAGATGCCGGGAGACCAGGGTGTGGAAACACCAGGGGAGGCCGCCCTGTGTTCACACTCTGCCTGGTCACCCTTTATGCAAAATTATGTCATGTCACCCGATGCTGTTTATAAACTTAGTGCTGACCTTTCCCAGGCAGGGTGGGGGTGGGGAGAGGAGGCACTGCAGCCCAGGCTCCTCACCCCCACCAGGAACTGCTGGTGGCCCACATTCACACAGAGCAAAGTCGGGGGGCTGGCTTCTGGCCAGGCTTTGCCCGCTTGTTTCAACACCTCTGAGTGCTCCCAGATGACCAGCCCTGGGGTATTTTTAAACCCTGGCCTTGACCAACCTTTTTGCCACATTCCAGTTGGGGTTTTGATTTAGTACGTGCCCCGGTTAGGGTAGCTGGGGGGTTGGGATCCATTCCACAACAAACATCTAAGCAAATGCAAGGACCGGTGGGCCTACTGTGTGCAGGAATGGAGGCCTCAGGGGCCCCAACTCACAGAGTCCTCAAGTTGGCCTCAGTCTGGCAGGGACACCATGACAAGCACTGGAAAGGAGGCCAAGGCGGCAATGACAACTCAGATACCTACGGGGCCTAGTGGGTTATGTAAATGTATGAAGAGGGCTCAGTGCGAGGCGACAAGGAGGGGTGGGGACTGCGGTGAACTGGGCAAATGTCTGAAGGGAGCGAACGTTCCTCAGCTCTGACCTCGGTTGCCATGAGGGAATCAGGCTCCGTGTGCCCAGGGCTTCTGACTTTTCAAGAGAAGCTGTAAATCTAGGTTTATGTGGAATTTCATGCTAAAATCTCTTGACTTTTAAACGTTGGCAATGATTTTTTTTTTAAATGTTAAAAACATTTTGAGAGCCAAATGAAACCCATCTGTGGGCTGGACTCAGCCCACAGAGCCAAGGTGATGGAGGCCAACAGCTCGTGCTCTCTGACGCAAACAGATGCATTTGAACATGTTCAATCCATAGGGGCTGAGCACCTACTATGTGCTCCTCCTACTATGCGAGGCCCCAGGGAAACAGCAGGGAACAAGATGGACAATATTCCTGGCCTCATGTTGCTTCAATCCAGTGGTGAGCTGGGGCCAGCTCATACGGGCTCACAGATTCTGTAAGCTGGCCATTCTACACAATTATTCGAAATCAAATTACATGAACTGACAGTTAAATAATTATAATAAGAGTAAAGGTAACAACTACCCAAAACGCATCACTTTCTAACTATCTTACTATTGTCTATATTCCTGAGGTTATTGACGTCTATTGTGTCATGTGCCATGTTGCGCGGCGGATATCATACAGAACTGTGTGCCACTGTGCATCTCTTCCCAACTCCATGTTCAGTGAAGTCACGTTGGCAGCTGGAAATCGGCCGTGGCGGGGGTAGTTACACCACAGAAACTGGCAAATGTAAACAGAAGAGCTCCCCGCTTGCTGAAAGCCAGTGGTTAAACATTTCGCAACGAACCAGGTTAAAACAAATGTACTGATAAGCTGTAATATGTCAGACAGTAACAAGTGCAATGAGGGAAAATAAAGTAGGTAGAAGGATAGGTTGTAATGGAGGGGAGTATTTTAGACGGACAGGTCATGGACACCTTCTTCGAGGAGATATTTGAGCAGAGACCTGAATGAAGGGAGAGAGTGAGCCAGATGGGTATTTGACAGAAGAAGGTTCAGGCGAAGGGAACAGCAAGTTTCTGCCTAGGGGACAGGGACAAGCTTGCTAGTTCTGGAACAGAGAGGAGGCAAGTGTGGCAGGAGCAGAGTGAGGGAGGGAAGGGGGTACGGATGAGGTAAGGAGGTGGGCAAAGGTCAGATCATACAAGGTCTTATAGGCTATGTGTGAGGAGGAGGAATTTGATTCTAAGATGGATGGGGAGTTCTTAGAGGGTTTTGAGCAGGGGAGGTGACATGACTTAATTTATCTTTTAATAATTTTTTCTGACTGTGCTGGGTGGAGTGGAACAAAGCTGGAAGCCAAGAGGCTGGGGAGGAGACAATTGTCACAGTTCAGGCAGGTGAGGATGGTGGCCACCTGAACTGTGGTGGTGGCTGAAAAGGTGGTGACAAGAATATGGGATGTATTTGGCAGTCAAGTCAACAGTATTTCTGATGGACGTGTTATGTGGGGCGAGGAAACAGGGCCTTAAATATAACTCCTAGGTTTGGGCCTGAGCCCCTGGGGGAGGGGTGGCACCATTCCTGAGACAAGATGACCAGTGGGCAGGGCCAGGATTTCAGGAGGGCATGTGGGAGGTTCCATTTCGTGACATTTGAGGGGTCTGAGTGACACTCATGTGGAGGTGTCAGCTCGCTAGACGGGCATTGGAGTCTAGAGCACAAGGTAGTTCTGGAAACGGTGTCTCTCTGTTGCTATGGCAACCCCAACTGGGGAGGGGAGACTGTTGGGGGGCTCAGGAGGGGGTGTTCTGGGAAGGTCCCACTGTGAAAGAGTCCCAAGTGTAAGAAGAGGCATTGGGCAGGTGGAGAACGGAGAAGCAGCACCCCAGGGGGAGGGAATAGCACCCCAGGGGGAGGGAACAGCGGGGGCAAAGGCCTGGAGGCAGGGAAAAGTATAACCTTCGTGGAGGATGGTGTGGGAGGATGGTCCAGGGCTTGGGGAGATGACTAGAAAGGCAGAGGACGGAACTTCCAGGGGGCTGCTGCTTTCAGCCGGAAGTGGGTCCTGGCTGGAGTGGACCTCAGGGCACTGGAGTGAATCGTGAGCAGGTGCAGGCCACAAAGACCCTAGGAGGGAAATACGGCATCCACTTCTGGCCTTAGGTTGCACAGGTGTAGGAGCCCCCTGCCCACCCCTCCTCACAGGCCCCCAGTGCCCTACCCCCAGCGTACACAGCAGAACGCCCCTCCAAGTCAACCAAGAGTCTTTGCCAACCCAGCCACTTTCTTAGAGATTTTCTGCCGATGAGCCAGGGAAACAAAATAACCCTGAGGGGAGGGGAGAATGGTCGAAGGAATATTCTGGAACCTTTAGTTTCTGGGTTCCTATCACACGGACAGGTCAGGAGGTCACTAACCAGGACTGAGGGATGACTGAGGTGAACATGGCATGGCGGGGACCAAGGTGTATTTGGGACCTATGTAACCATCCTCTAGGAAGAGGAGTGGATGACATGGGGTCTGGCCCTGTTCCCTCTTGCGGTCTGAGTTCAAAGGCAAATTTTTCTGCTACATACTTGCAGTGTGATCTTGGGCAAGTCATGTATCTTTCTGAGCCTCCATTTCCTTATCTGTCCAAAGGGACAATAATGGCATAACAAGAGATAAAACAGCTCAGTAATTTAGCCCAGTGCCTGCCTAGCTCATGGTAAACTCTCCATAAATGTCGGCTGTCAATCAGCACTTGCAAACTCACTGATTACTGAGCGCTTACTGTATGCCAGGCTTTGAGCTGCATGCATCATCTCATTTAAGCCTCATGCCCTCCCTGTGAGCGAGGGTTATCGTGATCAACTCCATTTTACAGACAGGGAAACCGAGCCTCTGAGAACTGACCTGGCTTGCCCAAGGTAAGGTTGGTAGTGGGGCACACAGCTGTATCTGACCTCCAAACCTGTTCTTGTATTCATTCTGGGTGAATTGAGTCAGTTCTAGAATTTTTGGAAACGAGAGTCCACATGACCCCCAGCATCTGCCCACACCAGTAGGGACCCCTGCCTTTCTCAGAGCCAGTCAGCTCAGGCTACACCTTGGGTCTGGGGTGTAGACAGGACGCAGGGCAGCAAAGAGCTTGGAGAAGCAGAGCCATGCTAGGCCAGCCTGAGCCTTCCTCTTGAATTAGGAGTTCAGCAGGCACTCATGTCCCATCAATAAACGTGCCCCAAAATAGCTCACTGGGTCCGTCCAGGGCAACAGGACCAGGACGTCCTGTTCCCACTGGCCCTGGCCAGACAGTGACTGAGTACCGGCCTTCCCCATTGAAGGCTGCTGGGAGGGACGGCACAGCTCATCCTGCCTGGGGACTCATGGGAATGAGATGGGCCCCCGGGCACCAACACCTCGACCTGGGGCAGTGTGGGGCTTCCCGAACAGGCAGCTGGCGCAGAAGATGACAGCAGGTGGAACTGGGCCAACGACTTTGATCTTAGGAGACAACCTCCCGAGCAGGTTAAGAGCATGGGCGCTGGAGTCTGACAGGTGTGGGTTCAAATTCCAGCTCAGCCATTTCCTGGCTGTGTGACTGTAGGCAAGTCACTTTCCCTCTCTGAGCCTTGGTTTTCTCTCCTGGAAAATGGAGATACATAGGTCATAGGGCTGTTGACTCAGTGAGTTTATATATCCAGAGAACAGTTTGTAGACTTGGCAGGTTCATTTATTATCTGTTCCTCTCCCTCCTTTACCACAGCAACGCGAGCCCTACCAGGGCAGGGACCTTTGTCTGTGGTTTACTGAGTTCTCCAAGGCACACAGGAGGTGCTCAAGGACTATTTGTTTAGTACATGGATGGATGGGTAGATGAGTGAATGAATGAATGAATGAGTGAATGAATGAATATGCCAGGCACATAGCAAATGATCAGAAACGCTTAGACATTCTCATCGTCTCCATGGGCATTTGTAAAAGAAAAACTCTAGGATCAAATGTGACTCACAAATGAAGGAGAAAGTTCAAGTGAGTCAAGGGAAAGAAAGACAAATGTTACACACGACACACAGGAGGGATCTGCAGGGAGGAAGCTGGGAATGGGGCGCTAAGGCTACCTGACGCTGGGAGACATAAGGACCGTGGATGCCGGCCGGTCTGGAGTCCCGGGTGCAGAATGCTGGATGCACCTGCCTCGTAGCCAACATCCTGGCAGGCAGCGGCTCCTCAAGCTACCTCCTGGTCGTCCCCGTGAATGTGGGTGGGGGGCTCCGGGGCTTCTGCATCTAAGGAGTTGATTACACAGAGAAGAAGTGAGTAGGCTGGGCAACTCAACGCTGCAGACGTGTAATAATCCCATCAATGACACTGATTCACCCGCACACAGCCCTTCCCCGGGCCCGGCCCTGGTCTCTGCATGTGTCAATGCACTGAACCGTTAGGACAGCTCTAGGACATGGGTGCTATCATTATTCCCATTTTACAGATGAAGACACCTACACCAAGGCCCAGAGAAGTAGTGTGGGCTGCCCAAGGTCACAAGGTCAGTGAGTAGTCAAACCCCTCCCCCAGCACCTCGGCACCAGGGGCCACGTCCAGTTCTCCCAGTCCACAGGCTCCTCCTGCCCAGGCCTTTCTGGGCTGCCCCTCACTTGGGGCATCTACCCAGTTTGTTGTGTCACCGTCAACACTTCCTCTGGCCCCTCCTTGCACGCCCCTCCTCTACACCCTGACCTCTGACCTCCCTCTTCCCCCAGCTCCTACTGTCTCTTCTGGGCTGTGACAATTGTACACTTGTCTGTCCTCTGGATCTTGGGGGCAGGGGAGGAATCTGTGTTTTCTCTGGGACCCAGTGCCCAGCACAAAGTGGGCCCTGCTGGGAATTGTTTGTGGAGCAAACACACCCATGGGTACGGTTGTATGCCAGGAGCCAGGACCCTCAGAGCCTTGAATCCAGGATCACACCTGGGAAAGGTGATGGGTGGAGGGGACGCTATGACCACCGAATCTCAGGCCATGCTCAGGGGCCCTCAGTGCTTCTCCATGCTCTGAGGTCACTGAGGTCACAGAGCTAAGAAGAGCACAGCTGGAAAGGAACCTGTGACCCCAGAGGCCACCCTCTCAGCCCCTCTGCCTTAGCTGTTAGCTATTCATCAGTCCCCAGGGACGCTCTCAGGCCATCGGCCAGGGCCCCCATGGGGGTAGCATGGAGGAAATGTCCTCTATTTGTGCTAAACGTTGTCTGGAAATTACCTCTTCCCAACTTCAAGCAGGCCCCAGCTCCTGACCTTGTCAAATGCATGGTCCTTGGTGGCTTTCGAGATTTCAAACAACTGGCCTCTTTCCCCTTTCTGGACTTGAGGCCTGGCCCTTTTTCAGTCTCTCTGCCTGAGTCAGTCCTGGGACTCCCTAAGCCATTTTACAAGAATGATGTCCAATGAGTGGACCTTCTATGTGCCAGGTACTTGGTGGGCACTAGCTCATCTTACCCTTAACAAACTCACAAGGGCAGATGCAGAAAACTGAGGTTAGACGGGGTGAAGTCTGTTGCCCAAAGTCACACCACCGTAAACCGGATGGATTCAAAGCCACACTGAGAACCCCCGTGCCATGTGGCTGCCCGCCACCAGCTGCTGGGTGGGGAGGTGTTTCTGTTCTTCACCGAGAACTCCACCTCCCTTCTGCCCAGCTCTCGGCCAGGGCAAACGCCTGGGCGGTTCATTTCCCCTTAGTCCCCAGAGTGGGGGCTCCTTCCTGGGAGCTGGGCTGCGTTGCTAAGGTGTCAGAGGCCCTCTTCCCAGCCCCTTCTTTCATCTCTGGTGTGGGGTTCCCAGTGGGGACCTCTTCCCATCTTGCTTCCCATCGAATCTTTTAGGAAAAGGTGAGAAGGGGATTAAGGGTGGACACTGCTGGCCGGGTGCAGGCTCTGAAGTCCCAGACTCCACGTGCCCATCGGAAGGCTGGCCGGGAGGGTGGAGCTGCCCAACTTGAATTTGGCTGGTTCTTATTAGCTCCAGAGCTCTTTGGGCGGGCAGGCGAATCGAAGAAGGCCAAAGCTGTTGGCTTACTTTTTTTCCTCCTATTTGGCAAAAGGAGATCAAAGCAAAGCCTCTGCTCTGCCCGCCTCTTCCCTCCTTTTCTTTCCCTTTTCCTTCTCTCCCTTAGAAGGCTGGCAATTAAAAACCCTCACTGCGAGGGGGAAGGCTTTTGTCATCCTCATGTCTTTTCTACCATGTCCCAGGTGTGGCTCCGCATGCACTGAGCCCTGGGCTAAGTAAGCATTTCACGGGAACGGGGACACAGATTCCTGAAGTGATGAGTGACAGCTTTTGTTATTCCCACCGGCAGAGGAGGAAACTGAGGCATGAGAGGGGCGGTCCCTCTTCGGAGGTCGCTCAAGGCTCTCTGATGCCCAGGTCCACGCTCTTCACCATTCTTCAGGCCACATCCCTCCTCCAGATTCGTATTTCCACCAAGAAAAATGAAGTAAGTGCAAAGGTGGCGAACAGCAGAAATCCAACTTCAGGTGTTTTCTGAGTTCAAGGGCTCCAAACTCCAAGGACTTCAGTGTTCAGGCAAGACACACAGATGACTGAAGGCAGCCATGTTGGAGGCGGTAGGGAGTGGTGGGGACTGTGGCGATTTGGAACGCCCCTGAGATTCAAGTCATCACCAGCCCATGGCTGCCTTGGGAAATGAGGGGCCAGCGTTGGCAGAATTTTCAGGCAAGCCAAAATTCCAGATGTTTCAAGTGGAAACCTCTGTATTTTTTTATGTGGTGGAAGATAGGAGTCTATTTTTATGTTAGTGATATATAAAATAAATTGATAGTGTGCTATCTTGGTCTCCAGGATTAAATATCCTCTTTTACCACCTTTATCATAGTCCTTCCCACTGCTCTTCTGTTTTATACTTTTCTTTGTGAGCACCAAGATTATTTTATTCAATTTGAGAAAATGTTGGCAGAATTGTCATTTTAAGGATGCGAAGTCTTCCCCATTTTTTATTCTCATCTTATTTCATGCCTCTTAGGAAGACATTTTCATTTTCTTCCAAAGTCTTTTAATTTTTAAATGAGGGTGAAATTCCAAGCTGTTGGAACTGTGTAGGCCAAGTAACACTTCCCAGGGGCTGCGTTTGGCCTGGGGGGTAGGGGTGGGGGGTGGGCCTGGGACCCCAAGAAATTCAGGGCAGCCTCACCCCATGGGGGAGACCAAACACGCTGTCATTCAAATATATGGGTTAAAGACTTAAATGGAAGGCCTGAAGCCATAAAACTCCTAGAAGAAAACATAAGAAGTAAACTATTTGACATCAGTTTAAGTAATATCTTTTTGTATACATCCCCTCAAGCAAGGGAAACAAAAGCAAAAATAAACAAGTGGGATTACATCAAACTCAAAAGCTTCTGCACAGCAAAGGAAACCATCAACAAAACAAAATGGAAACCCACTGAATGGGAGAAGATATTTGCAAATGACATACCCAATGAGGGGTTGATATCCAAACTATATAAGGAACTCATACAACTCAATCACAAAAAAATAAACAAGCATTGAAAAATGGGCAGAGGACATGAAAAGACATTTCTCCAAAGAAGACATACAGGTGGCCGATGGACATATGAAAAGGTGCTCGACATCTGAAATCATCAGGGAGATGCAAATCAAAGCCACAGTGAGATATTGCCTCACACCTGTCAGAATGGCTATTATCAAAAAGTCAACCAATAACGTGTTGATGAGCATGTGGAGAAAGGGAACCCTTGTGCACTGTTGGGGGGATTGCAAACTGGTGCAGCCACTATGGAAAACAGTATGAAGTTTCCTCAAAAAAACTAAAAATGGATATACCATACGACCCAGCAATTCCACTTCTGGGTATTTATCCAAAGAAAATGAAAACACTCATTGGAAAAGATACATGCATCCTTATGTTCATTGCAGCATTATTTACAATAGCCGAGACATGGAAGCAACCTAGGCGTCCATCAATAGATGAATGGACAAAGAAAATGTAGTAGTACATATATATATATATAATATATATATATATATATATATATATATATATATATATATATACAATGGAAGTTTATGCAGCAATAAAAAAGAATGAAATCTTGCCATTTCCGACAACATGGTTGGAACTTAGAGACATTATGCTAAGTGAAATAAGTCAGGCAGAGAAAAACAAATACTGTTTGGTTTCACTTATATGTGGAATCTAAAAATAAAAACAAAACAAAAACAGACTCATAGAAATAGAGACCAAAGGGATGGTTACCAGAAGGGAGGAGGTGGGAAGATGGGTGAAAAGGAGAAATTGAATATAATCAATAATATTGTGATCAGTTTGCACGGTGACAGATGATTACTAAAATTAGTGGGGTGATCGATCACACAGTAAGGTATAAAAATGTCGAATCACTATATTATTGTACATCTGAAACTAATATAACCAATCTAAGATTAAATACCAACTACACTTTAAGAAAAAAAAAAGATAACCCTGTCCCAGGCAGGGAAATCTCGAGGGCCAGAGGAGTCAGGGTAAGCTGGGCTGAGAAACTCTGGGATGTGCGTCGCTTGACTCATTCGGGTCTCCCTTCACATGTAGCCAGATACGCCCATGGAGGCCTTGTCTTTCTACGGAAGCTCCAGCCGGCTCATCTCTGACCAGCACTTCAAATGACAATTGAAAATAGCCAACATGTTTTTTGTTTTTAAAAAAAAGGAAATTAAAAATACGTAATAGGGAAACTCAGTCAGTGGGTCAAGGAATATCGATGGAGGCCCACTGGTGCCGGGCCCTGCTCAAGGACCCGTGGACAGGGCACACGGACGAGTTCCTGCTGAAGCGGCTCACGCTCTGGTGGAGAGCATGGGCGAGAAACCCAGAAGCAGATGAGAAACTAAGGCACATTCCAGTGATGATGATGAAATAAGGTGATGGGAGGAAGAGGGCTGGGGGATCGCCGCAGACAGGGGCGTGGAGGGGGCCTCCTGGTGGAGGCGACGCCTGGCTCAGACCTGAAGGATGGAAAAGAGACAGCGGTGGGGTCCCTGCCTCAGTGGCAGTTGTGACACCCAGGAACATCACGGCAACATTTGGGCATACATCCTGCCATACTTTATTGCCCAGTTATATTTTCATATGTATATGTTTATTTGTTTAATTTCTATTTTACATGTTTGCATTTTCTAAAAAAACCAAAGTGGCCACGTAGTGTTCTCTAACCACCTTCTTTTCCAACTCAAAGCCTCAGGTTCCCCATCTGTAAACG